GATGTTTGGAAATAAATGTTGGTTAGTACTTTTGATCCCCAACCTTTCGCTTCGACAGAAATATCATTCAGATACTTTACCAGTACCAAAGGAGTGCACACCACTGAATAACACACATAATTAAACACAGGAAAAATATCTTCAACTGTAATGAAAAAGAACGTGTTAGAATTAACTTTCTCGCGCTTATGGGGCACAATTCTACGTATCAATTAGGATGATACATTACCACGATAGCAGAGACTAAAGTAGCTGCCATTGCCACAAGGAATAATACCGAGGCAAACCACCGAACTATATAAATATGACATTGAGAACGTTGGTGCATTTCAGTCTGCAAGAAAATGTGGAATATACTGATCATAACGTACCTGGTGCAAACATTGTCTTGACTTGCTTTTTGAAGCCAACCAGGAAGCCCGTACTAAACAATATAATAGTTTCAGTAAAGCACGCTTTTGGAATGTAAAAATATGCATATCTGCCGAGCGTTACAAATTACCTGACGAGGGATACAACATTACCGAGGGTATAGAGGACGGCAAAGCCTGTTATATTTCCTGAAATTAAGGCCAAAGACGACTATTTAATGAACCAAGAAATGAATTAAGAAACGGTATTTTAGATAACTTTAAACACAGCCACTTTATGCGTGAATTCGACCAAGAAACCCTACCACTATACTAATGGCAAAGCCCACAATGAAACTAACGGAAGCGATTACGGGATATATTCTTCAATTAATAAACTAAGCAGAGTCAAGCGGGTTTGTATTGCATTAATGCAGTTTTCTTAAACTCCAGTATACATGCCATATACCAAACGCATAGAGACGTTGAGTCCTCGACAGCTTGAAACAGTCGTCAAAGACGCTTTTGTCGTCCATGGTCCCTTGGTCACTCTCTGAACTATCCCAGAACCACATTGTTATAATCTTTTTGAAAGGGTCGTGTTTACAGAATAGAAAGGCGTGTCAACAATTTTTCGTCTTGTCACAAAAAAAAACCAAGCCAGGGAACTAAAAGTCCGAATACCGGTCATTTTTCTGCAAGTTTTTTCACGTGACCATAACACGTCATTCTTTATACATGCAGGTGACACTTTTACTCCAATTTCGCTTTTGTCAATAATAATAATGTGCAGACATATACTAAACGCTCAAGTAAATAAAATATAATCGTTTTTGGCAACTCGTATAAGCGTAATAGTTTATTAATAGAACAACCCGTAACTTGCGCTATTTTCAGGTTTCTATCCGTGCATCTTGCTGTAAACGGTGGTTTGACTGCGCAGAATGTCACGCAGAAGTGGCAGATCATGAGATCAGAAAGTCCGTAGAGATGGTTTTTGCCTGCAAAAAGTGTAGAAAGGTCTTTCGCAAAGATATGGAGAACTTTGACGAGACTGACGAGTATTGTCCACACTGTGACAACCACTATGTAATAGAAGCCAAGACCCCTCAAATAGGTATTGGTGTCGAAGGAGATGATCCACGAAAGGATAACAGGTAATTAAGCAAAAACTGTGATGGAAATTGGTTTCGTTTAGAATCAAAAACCGCGTTTAACGTGTAATAAAAACTCTTTATTACAGAATGTTAAAGGACGATCGTATGCAACAAGATCCGTCAAAGAGCGTCTTTTTTCCCGACTTTAGCAAGCGTGAATAATTGTGAATAATCGTGAATGCTATGCCAATAGCGTCAGACAGTAAAAACATAATCAATATAAAAAACTGCCATTTAATTAGACTTAATTTTAGAATTTATAAAACTTAATAATTTATTGCTAGCAACAGTGATCGGTATTTCAATGGTTAGATCGCTCACCAGCTCACTAGTAAGATTCTTGATTAGACTATATTACTTAGTATCGGCTTGATAGTGCACAAGCACGATTCGTTCAATTTGGTCGCTAAATATACAAATTATTGGATTGGAGAGCTCATTAATCTTTATTTGCACCAGTTTTTAAAATGTCCAAAAAGGTTTTCTTCGACATGGATGCGACTATAAATATTTCATAGAGATGGATTAGGGGAAAAAACTGTTCACGTACCAATTAATCTCCAATAATCATTGTATAGACACTTACCATCCTTTGCTTGGCGAACCGTCAATTTACTATCACCACCTGCAGCCTCGACTGCCTCTTCGGCTGTCTTCTGAGCTATCTTGATAGCATTAAATAGCTGTACAACTATCAATGAGAGAGAGACTTTGAGCAATCAAAACAATCAAATATTCATATCTTTGCTTCCCGCCTGTTCTACTCACCTCCTTTGGTGGCGATTCGGCTTAACCTTTTCTCATGTTCAAACGTAGTGAATTGCGTCTTTACCCTATCTTTGGAAGCTAGTTTTTTCTTTTCCATAGCGGCCGCCTTACGTGCTCGTTGTTCGTTTTTCTCTTGATCAATATGTCGTTCAATTCCTTTGGATCGAGATAATATTGGTGCCTGACATCAACAGCCGATACAATAGGTTTAAAACATTAGAAAATTTGGGCGGACGTAGGCCCTCTTCCCCCCCCCCCCCCTTCAGAATACGATACATTTTGGTCGGCAGCTTTCGTTCGACTGGACAAGATCCGGTTCATTACACCAGCAAAATCTTCCGCCGTTGTTTTTTTCGGCCTTGAGCGTTCTGCGTGTTTTGTTTTTTTAAAATCATGCGTTTAGATCTGTCGAAACGAATATTCTAAACTTGGTTCTTATAAAGATCGGACAACTCAACTTTGACCAAGTCTATATATTTCGGAATCGTCGCTGCTGCTCTCGTCGTCAACTTCAACTCCTTCACTCTCATCGTCGCTGGTATCTGTTTCGGCTGACGTAGTCGACTCTTCATCGAATTTTCTTCGTTTCTTCTCCATTTTGTTAACGACTATTACATGGGCATGTTATAACAAAACCAAAGTGAGCATGACGCCACAGAAAAGTTTTAAAAAATTTTTTGGCAAGCGCCACAGATTTTGATTGTGGCTTGCATCAACAAGATAGTCAAAATCGACACTCGCACTTTAATACAATACCAGCAAAGCAGATAATTCTCTTATCCCTTGCAGGAAGCGATTCAGACACATATTAGTAGTAGTAGACAATGTTTTAATTATCAATTTTAATTGAGCGTTAACTTGACATTTTTAATCTTGAGGTCAGCCCACAAATATTCAATAAGATTAAGGCTAAGAAGAAATTTTTTCACTTTTACTGTGTTGACGTTATACGATAATACAGTCATACCTTGTTTATATCCCCACTTTGGGACCCGAGATTTTGGGGATATATCTGAGGTTGGGATATAACTGAGGTATAACATTTTCATAAATAATATCATGCAATTTTATTGGT